ATTTTACTTGAGGAAAAAATTATGTAGCTGAAAGCCTGAATTTTTAAGACGTTTACAGCGTAAAACCATGTTGGATTTAATAATGTACTTTATTAAATTACCACCTTCACCAAATATCCCCCAAGTCGTAAGCAACAATTTTCTAGTTAGGTTGGGAGGGTGGAGTAGTTTTAATAAAGTGCACAGAACAGTGAAACCCATGAAGCCTTATAGGCGGGACTCCCACATCCTGCTGCAAGTACCTCTGCACTAGTACACGAGATCTTAAAATGGCTAGGAGGTATTAGATGAGGAGGAACTAGCAACTCAGTGCTGCTAGTTGACGCGTCTCTGGTGAAAAGAGCCCAGCTACCAAATTGCCTTTTTTTTTTTTTTAAACCACAAATCCTAATTAGAAACTTGAGATTTATAGAAATTGTTTAAGAAGATAGAAATTAGTATATGATTTACTGTGAATACAGTACCTGTGCTTCCTGTGTCTCCAGCTATTTTAAGTTATAATGAACTGCCCTTCCCTATCAACATTTACAAGTTTCTAGAACTATTAAAGCTATTTACAAAAAGGGGTGGAAACTCTTATTAACTGGCACTGTTCTTGATTGCTATATTTTAAATGAGCTTTCTCTGAACGCAGTTAAAGTATGTTTTTTGAGTAATCTTATTAGAATCTCTTAATTATAGTACCCCCAAATGGGATGAGCTATTTGCCTGTTTTCACAGTTCTAAACTTGGAAAGAAGCAAAGTATATAAGTAAACTATATATTCGTTTTTTATTCTCTTTTTAATCAGATACAAATTGGTAGACAAACAGGGAAGCAGTATGTGAATCTCCATGTAGCAGAGGCAGACCAAGCATTATATTACTGCTTAAGAGTTGTATTTTCAGAGCCCCAACTGCACCAATTACTTGTCCTTGTGCCAAAGGCAAATATTGTGTTTGCACCTTTTTTTTTTTTTCCTGATTCTCAGGTTGATTAATACTGCTAATGCAGATGCTCAAGTAGATGTTTTTCAAAACTTTACAAAGTAGACTCAAGTGATACTTTCTATTAAAAGTAAAGAGTTGGTGATTACACATAGTAAATTCATGAACTACAGTAGGTTTGTATCAAACAGAAGACTTTTTTTAATGAAAATTTGTTGGTTGATGTCTACACAGTATGCTTCTTTGACTATTTTAGTCTTTGGTCTTGGTCTCTGCTAGGCCTCATAATGAGTTTGATAATTTAAAAAGGGTAATGGATGGATTAATGTGGTCTCCTTGGCATGTAAACGTGAAATACTTCTGTCTGGTACCGAGGCCTTGCTTACACTTGCTTTTTAATACACTGAATAATTTTAAGTGATCTGGACACTGATGCAGACACTTTGGGCTTATAAAGATGGATAAATTGTAAGGAAACAGTTTTGACATTGTTAAAATATTTCCATTCGTATGTTTATTATATCACAGCCCAGTGACTTTCCTCTTTTGAAATTACAGCTCAGAGGAGACAATAGGATTCAATAGGGGACCCAATGGAATAGATAGAAATGAGGAGATTCCTTTGTGCCGAAGTAAAGGCATTTTCCCAAGGAGTACAGGATTAGGGCTGCTTTCCATTTTTCCATCATGTCTTCCCACTACTGTTAGGATATAGGTCACTCCATGTAGCGATGCCCAGGTAATTCCCTTATGAGAATTCTGCGAAGGGAGCTCCCGATGTATGTGAAAGAGCCTAACACATACTTGGGACACGGCGTTCAGTAAAAGTTTGGGTCGATTATGGGATGGTCCCATTCTTGTTTAAGGAAGGAAAGTTGAAATTATTTTCCTGTTATTAATCAGGTGTCTTCTGTGCTTCTTTTGTATGTAAAGTAGTCATAACTAAACCTGTAATACTTGAACATCACTAAGGGAAGTAAATTGTGAAGCTAGCAAAAATCTGAGGCCAAAGTTATTTCTGTCCTAACAGCTTTAATAATGCTTGTTGATTTTGAATAATCATTTTAAAAGTGGACCATTTGCTTATTTTAGTAACACTTCAGCACAATGTTAGTGTTAAAAAGATCAGCTTTTATGGCATTGAAGAATGTATCTGTTGAGACACAGAAGTTGCTTGGTGTATTAGGTGGAGGAGGAAAGGCTATATATAGGCTGGGTGAGAATTTGACTGACTAGAGTAGTTACTCAGAAGTATCAATTGGGAAATTGTGTAATTTTCCCACTGACCATCCCTGCGCTCCCTCGCGCGCGTGTGTGTGTGTTTGTCTATTTGGGCACAGTAATGACATTATTTGGAATTGTAGATAGACACACCTTTTGATCCCACCCTGGTTAGGTTACTGTTGAGCAGTGACAGATTGTCCTCGTACTGCTGGCGGAAAACAGTCGGGGGAGCCCGCCCTGCTGCTCCGCTGCCCATCAGGCAGAGCAGTTGCCTCACCATTTGGCCACTCCGCTCCATTTATCTTGGGTTTGGGTACTTCATTTAAGCACTGCTAGAAGGTACACAGGTATTAATATCACTAAGTTCTGAGCAGTTTGGGTACATTTGTCTTACTATGTGTAGAATGTGCAGTACACTTTTTCTTCCTTTCAGCAAAATTACTCATTTTTAGGTCTGATACTGAACTGACAGATCTACTGTGAGAATGAGCTGACATATCTACTGTGAGAATAACAAATGTTTGAAAACTTTTTATACACGGGGGTGTTTATATATTGAGAAAAATATATAAAACACACACATGCATGCACATGTCACCTCTCTCTGCTGTGGAGTTAATGTGAATTTCTCATTTTAAATGGAATTGCAACCACAATCATTACTAAAAGAACATTCACTCCTAGGGAGGTTTTTTACAAAAGCCACTAAAACAATGAGGTAGGCAGATGAAAATGCAAAGGGTCATCATTGGGTTTTTTTAAAATTTAAAACTCTATTGTGCTACTTTTGAAAGAATTGTTTTTATTACTAAGTTCTTTTTGTGATGGAATTGTGATGGAAAGGTCATCCGATAGTAAGCGGTATAGTAATAGTAAGCTACTTTTTAAATTGCTGGCAAACAGCTTTAAGTGCACTTTCTTTGATTACACTTCCATTTTTTGTTAAACTTGAATTTTCTGAAGCCTTTGATGTACCACTAAGCAAATAACTTTAACTTTTAATAAACCTGATTTACGTGTTTATTATATTTTAATTGTTACAAAACATACTTTCTAAAGTAACTTCAATCCTCAGATATAGCTGGGAAACTGAGAATCAGTGCTTTTTTTTCTTTTCTACATCTAATTAAGCACTAACTGATTTTACTACTTTGTTGCCTTTACATTGCTTATTCTTATTGACTGAGTTCTGTCCCTCATTCACTGTTTTGTTTGAAATTTAAAATTATTTTCTTACTGTATTTATCATACCTATTGTTTTAATAATCTGCTTTCTTTAAATGCAATAAATCCCAAATGGATCGCATATTCTTTATAATTAGTGACTTTGGACTTTTTCATTATTTGTCATAAATGTTTTGGATGTAAACTTCTATTCAGTTCTTTTATTCACACTGCAGACATTAAGCACCTATTATGCTCCAGCTAGTGGAATAGAAAAAGGAAAAGGATTAGATCTCAGTTCTTAGGGTAAAGCTCACAATGTAGGGTTTAAGTAAGAAAACCTGTGTGCCCTAGCATTTTTGCAGCAAAAACACTTCATAGCACAATCTGTTCGGGCATTACAACTACTGATAATTATAATGATGAAGGTAAGGCAAAAACATGACTTTGAAGTACCTTTTGAATGTCTGACATTGCTTTTACATTATGTATAATTTACTTAAGCTCCTTAGAAACTGGTAACCTATAGAACTTAAAAAGTATTTGGTTAAATAAAATACTGTAATCCTTGATTATGTCAGAAAAGAGGCTTTGGCATGTTGAAGAGAAAACCTATCTATTGGGTGGGTGGACTAAGTTTGGTGTCAAGATCACATTACCTTACATATTATTCCAGAGTCTTTAGATTGGTGGCTTGTGGAAAAAATCATTTTATTCATTTTATTATGAGCTTTTTCTGGCGTAGTAATATTTATCTCAAGTTACATGCAAAAATAAGGGCTTTGTGTCTTTTTAATAAGTTGCACAAAGCGTGGATTATACCACTGTTCAAATTCTATTGTAGCTAACTTCTTTAGAGAAAAGTCTGTGCTGCGATTAGAGCTATTTATTTTGAAGAGCTCATCCCTTTTTAAGGAAGTCCAGCTCTGTAATCATGTGTAAGAGATAGTTAATTATTCTCATATTGAGGGCATGAGTTTTATATTGCACATTTAAAAATAGTTCGCTTTTGCTTCAGGTGATTGGCACTATTGAAATGACATGATGTTCTGTAGTGTTTTTGATCCCAGACACGTAAAGCAGGACTAGGGCTTTGGTGGCTAACATTCCTGCCCTCTATGGATGGAATTTTCACTTTTCACAAGAGACCCCTAATGCTGTTACCTCTCCCTCGTGAAAATGTTTCATTAACGGTAATTGTAGTTTTGGCTCATTATCTCACTACCTCCTCAGGAAGTCTGGTGTGGAATTTCAGGGGACTTTGGTATCCAGTAGCATCTGTACCTCTGTTTTAATATAAACATAGTAACTGATAATGCAGGTAAAAGACACTTGCGTCCCTCCCCTGGTGGCTGAGCTGATTCTTCAACACATTTTGGCAGGGACAGGATTACCCAGAATGATGACTTCAGGTGGATACAGACCTACTCAGCTCAGCAACTGGCAGGGGTCCAGAAGTGTAGACTTCTGCCCCTTGACGTTTAGTACAGGGCAAAGATATCTCCAGGTAGGTACCTGCCAACTGGAGTTGCACACCTTTATGCCAGTCAGTCACAATCTTCAAATCGGTTACTTTGTCCACGTGGGATGCCATAAGATGTGACAGTCCCTGAATTCTTCATTCCTGATTCTAAAATATGATTTTGAAGCTGTTACGTATTATAAAGAATGACAAGCAGCACTTAATATATTTAGTAAACCCAGTTTATTTACATAATACATATTTTGCCATGCAGCTTATCGAATTGCACTCAGTGTCATAACCAAAAAGACAAGCACTATCTTTTGAAAATGGCTTTATATCGAAAGATAATTGCCTCAAATTAGTTAACTACAACCTTATAAATCACTATGGACAGTTTAAAACAGCCATGGACAATTTTAAAATGTAAAGTCTGTAGATAAAGAGCTTTTATAGCTCACACATTGTAAAATTAAAACCAGCCTTTTAGTACGGTAGCTGAATCGCGTACTTTTAATCTTACTTTAATCTATAAAAACAAAAATAAATCTACATTATTACAAGGCTCAGATTTGGAGGCAATTTTTAAATAGTTATTCTTTAATGTTGACAATGTCTTAAAAATTTTGCCAGTAGTGATATGCACACAGTAGGTGGTCAATAAATGCTGACATACAGAAGTTTTTATAGTTGACAGCAATCCACATTCATTCATTCCCTACTTTATAATAAATCTATCATAGAAAAGATGAAAAAGAGGATAGCTTTCTTACAGTATTTAACATTTTCATAAAAAGATGAAAGGTTTACATGGTATACTTCTCCCTACAGTCAGACCTGTATGCCTTTTAAATGAAAAAACAAAAACCCAAAAACAAGAACAAAAAAAACAAGTATCTTTTTACCCATGAATTCAGATGGCAAGGATTAAATTCATACACTGTAACAAAAAACCAGAAATATTTTGAGAAGACTTTATAGGAAAAGTGGTATTAGGCCTAAAATAACTAGACTCTTTAAGTATAACTATTCCGTGTATTTTGTTTGGCTAAAATATCTATTTAAAACCAGTATCATGTAAACCCGTAAGAGATGTTTTAGGGAAAATACACCCCATTCTCATTACACCAAAGTCCTCTTTCACTTCGGACAGAGACTAAATCTGTGGCGAGAAAGCAGCCAGTTTCAAAGCAGTGTGTCCCATCATTATCATGGTACAACAGCACGCCCTTAGTCTACTGGGGAGATTCTCCTTGCTGAGATACTAGCATGGGGAATTTATATTGCAATAACACTACACTGAAAATAAATACAAAATGTTACAGAGGCATAAACTGAGGCACGTTAAAGTAACATTCCTAATACCAGATGTAGAAATGTCAATGTGGAAATAAGCATGACCATCAATCAGCACTTCTCCTGATATTTGGTAATTCCAATGTTCTGAAGATACACCAGTATTCAAAGCAACGCCTGTCAACCCATTAAGAAGCTTGAATAATAATTTATGTTCCAGTGAACAACATATTTTTGTGTGTGACTGCTTTAAGGGACAGACCAAAGGACAAGAAAAGTGGTGTATGCTAGAGCAATGAGATCTATTTTTTAGGTATATATAATAATAAATAAACTTGATGTTTCAGGCTCAAATATTAGATAGTCTTATCAGTACTGTGAGTTGTCAATAAAATGCCAACAAGTGCATAAACAGGGAAAGACTAGAACACAGGTGAACAATCTTGTCATCAAATGGGGCATCAGCATGACTTTGTTCTAAGGCTTAAGGTTCATTTCAGGGTCAAGACTGGGCCATCTGGATTCTGTGGCCTTGAAAGTAGCACCCATATAATTGGGAACCCCCATCCATCACAGAATTTAGGACTACAAATTCAGAGAGGTGAAATTCTGCTATAGGAATTTTGGAGCCAAAAACCTGTAATCCATTGGCAAGAGTGCAATTATTATATGTACCTAAATAATATTCTTTGAAATTAAAAACTTATATGCTACTGTCTTGGTTATTAGACCACAGACTTTGTTGCCTGATCATATAATCAGTTCTTAATGTGATTCTTATGCAAGTTTTCTTCTTCTCAAAGCCTCTCTCAAAGAAGGAAAGGATTAAAGTTTTTATTCTAGCAAACCAAAAAATACAGTGTTCCTAAGAAGAGAGACTATAGCTAAAGGAAATCATATCTTAAGGGCCAGTTTCTCACAAACCATATATTTAAAGGCTAGTGAATATTCAAAACCACTCTCCTAGCTTTAAGCATAAGCTATTGCAACCTTCGCCTTGATTAGGCACTTAAAACTTGATCAACTACTGTAAATATCTTCTATTAAAGTAATCACACAGGATGACTCCATTTTATAATGGAGGTGAGCCCTTCCTAAGCAAATTAAGCTGGTGTTAAGTAAAACAAACACTATTTCTATACTGGTTTCACATTCATGGTTATTCAGATGTTTCTTACAAATGCCAACTAATATTCACTTTCTGTACAAGCAGCAAGTTAGTAGTCTTAAGGGACATAAAGCAGTTATTATTACAGATCCCCAAGTATATTTTTCCATTTTTATAAAGTATTACTCATGGTATATTAAACAGGAAGAAAAAGGAAAAACTAATGTGAATCTTAGAAACAGTGGGGTATACAACTCCCCATTACATATTGCTTAATAACTGAATACAGCAGGTGGCCATACCTGAATTCACAAATGTGAAACATAGTCAGGGCAAGGCTTGCTATGTCTGTACTGCATGACATACACTGTTGACTGATGCCACCAATATAACATCACTACTGCAAGGATATGCCATATTTGGTGGCTTGATCCGAGGTAGTTTAGTTGTCCTAGAAGGGAAGGAAGAGGAAAAAGAATATTATGATATTTTGATATTAGAGTAAGAATATATTCCTATGTCTAGCCTTGGACATACGGCTTAGCGACAAAAATATTTTGGCCATCTCAGAGCACCTGGAGAGTAATTCAAACCCAGATGTGTTTTTAAAAACGATGAACTCCTATTTTGGTCTAATTTAAGGACATTGGTGAATTTTGGAAATACTATTCCAAGTGTGCTTTCAAAATCTAATTTGGTTATAAGGAAACCAACTTGACAATAAACTATTAAAAAAAATCTAATTTGGTTAATTTCAGGAATTTAACCTTTTGTTTCCAATGTCTTATATATCTGGATATATATGTATATATATCAAGGGTTAATTTGTAAAATGTAATTAGTAATAGCTCCATTAAGTAAGGTTGATTAGTTCTAATACAACTTAAAACTGTTTCTCTTTGTGCTTAAAGTTTAAATTCCAAGGAGATTAATTAACTGGCATATGGGAAGTTTCTTGAAACATATCAAAATAAAATACAGTTATAAAAATTTATATGTAAATAACTTTTTCTTACTCATGGTGCTTCTATGGTCATGTAATATAAATATTCTCTGACCTTACCTGTCTTATCAAGAGTAATAGTATAGTATGTAGATTTTATTTTGTTTATTTAAATGTTTATTTTTGAGAGAGTGCAAGCTGGGCGGGGTGGGGGTTGTGGAGAGAGGGGGACTGAGGATGTGAAGCAGGCTCTGCGCTGACAGCTGTGAGCCTGATGTGGGGCTTGAACTCATGAACTCTGAGGTCATGACCTAAGCCAAAGTTGGATGGTCAACTGACTGAGCCACCCAGGTGCCCCAGTATGTAGATTTAAAAGTTTAAGTGCACACAATCCTTTCCATAGGGGTTTCTAGCCTTTTTTTGGTGCCACAGAATACTTTGACATTTTAATGAAGCTCCTAGACTCATTTTTAAAAACACAAAATACAGAGGATTACAAAGAAAATTGATCACATTGTAATACAAGTATGCAGATCCACTTAATTCTGTCCGCAGACACCTCTGGTGATCTTTGGACCCAATCAAATACCATTGTGAATTTTTATATTTAAAAAATTTAACTGAACGGAAAGTAAGTTCTTAGGTATAATTTTTTTAATTTCACAGTATTCACCCACCATCTCACCACCACATGTTTCTCTCTCTTTTTTTTAAGTTTATTTATTTTGAAAAAGGGGGAGAGGGAGCAGGTGGGCGAGTGGGGGAGGGGTCAGAGAGAGAGAATCCCAAGCAGGCTCCACACTCGCAAGATGTGGGGCTCAAACCCATGGACCATGAGATCATGACCTGAGCTGAAACCACGAGTTGGATGCTTAACTGACTGACTGAGCCTCCCAGGTGTCCCGCATGCGTTTCTCTTTACATAAATGGTAAATTTATGTCATAAATGGGGACTGGCCAGCCAGACAAGGTTTCTAAGCCACTCATTCATGAACATCTGAGACTATCAATTTATCGGTAAATTGTGTGAGGCTTTTTGTCTCACACGGTCTCCATATCTCCCCTCTCCACTATGCCTGTACTCGATCACACATTCAGCTACATGGGGCACATTTTATGTCAAGCTCATCTGGAAGAGAAGTTCCATAACATTTGACCTTTTACAGGTGTCCTATGTTAGGCAACTGGGAACTTCAGATATGAATATTTTAAGGCATAAAAACACTGTGGCCATAATTATGTAGTACAGAAAAATTTCATCAATTTTCTACATGCACTTGTGAAGACATTAATAATACAATAATTATTAGTAAGGTGCTATAGAAATGTATTTTGCCATAACTGTTTTCTGAGGAAAATTCTGGCCCTGCATGAAGGTGGTCTTCAGTTAAGGGATGTGTCCTGGTTATGTTCCTAAATCCTAACGTTTACACTCTGGTTCTTTGTACTTCACTCTTATTTAAAGCTCGGTGGTGAAAAACCAAGTGCACAGAAGAATGCCTGAGGGTCTGTGATCCGTTCCTTCTCTAGATCAGGGTTTCTCATCCTTCTTCTTCCCAACACACATCATAAATGCCATAATCCTATCTTCAATTCACTGTGGAAGAGATTCTTCAGCCAGGAGGAAGAAGGGACAAGTTTGCAGTTTGAATGTGAACCACACACCTATTTCTAGGTCCCCAAACCAAAGAATCACTGCTCTGTTTACTCTGTTATTCTTGCCTCAAGCCAAAGGTCACCTGGATTGCATCATTCTGTGCCTTACTAAACCACATTTCCACTTACAGGACTGAGGTGGAGGGGCATCATCTTAGTGACGATTGCTAACCTGTACTGGGTGCTTACTTCTTGTGAGGAAACTTGCTAAATGGTTCATGTAAATTTTTGCACGTAACCCTCACAATAACCCCATGAGAGAAAGTATTATCTCCATGCTCAGAGGAGGAAACAAGCTGAAGAAGTGAAGTAACTTATTTAGCTCATGCAGCTAGTAAGTGGGCGATATGGATTTGAACCCAAGCAGTCTGACTCCAGAACTACCGCTCCTGAACAAGCAAATACATGTTTTAGAGAACATTATTCATTCTACCCAGTGTCCTCTTAGTTATTTTCTATCAAAGGTCTTTTTCTCTGGACTGAAGGATCAGGGAACTCTGTCCTTCTATTGAGTCACTAGCTTGTGTATATTTGGGGACATGAAGACCCTTAACTTAGATAATTTACTGGGTGCCAGGAAGGTAAAAGGCAGACTGGTTATCTGTATCTACTTCTAGAACCTCATGACAGATATATGATGAAGTGGTCCTAATCCAGGCTTCTTTTCATTATCGTCTTACTTTCCTCTCTCTCTTTTCTTATTTTATGGATTTCTGCATACACAAATTGTTTTTTAAGAATGAGTCGGTATATAAAGAAGTCATTGGTAATTGATAATTAGTACTTCTCAAAATAAACAGTGGTTGGGAGTCAGGAGACTCCCGGCTTTGTCACTAGCTCATAAATGTGAAATGGTGGTGACCTCATCTACCTCACTCCACTCGTGGAGAAGAGAAAACGAAGTCTGTGGAAGCCCGTTGAAAGTTAGAGAACACTGGACAATAGAGAGCCATTCTATAATCAATAACATTAAAATAATTTTGGATACTCTGAAACATATACCTCTACCATACATTTTGAATAAAGTCACAAAAAGCACTATAAAAGAGTTACTTACCTGGAAAGTACCGTTCGGGAACTTTGGAAATGTAGAACAGGAAAGCAAGAAAAGCAATCACATACATCACAATTACACGGGGTGCAAAGTCCTGAAAAGCGAAACACTTTTTCACAGATCTTCCTACTGTGACTGAATTCCCAATTTACTGTGAATCTAAGTCATAGATTAGGTAGGATTCATAAGCAGAATTTAAGCCCGTTAAATCTAAATTGAAGATGATCTCCAGTAATAGAAAACTTGTTCTCAGTACTATAGAAAACGGCCCACAGGAGTGGGAGAGAGTGCCTGACGATTAGGGTACTAAAGGAGCTGGAGCTTGAACATGGCTGAAGGTCCCAAGGACACCCAATTCCATTGATGCCTGGGTGGAACGCACATGGAGAACGGAGGTACCCGCTGAAAAAGCAAAAAACTGAACCAGGGACTTATGCTAGAAAAGACTGCAGAGGTTTGGCTGAAAAGTGAAATCTGTTCCACCATCCCAGATAAATGGTTCTCTTGAATACCACTATATGAAGCAGTTCTTCTCTCAGCTCTATTGGAAAGCTTTTCCACTAGTAAAGAAAATTAGCCAGCTATAATTTATACATATTGTTTTCAATTCTGGTTACAAACCCAATACCCCAAGAAGACACAAAAAAATAAAATGAAGACAAAATTACTTCCGTCTACAAATATTTGAGAATTATCATGGCTCTCCTGAAAATCTACATTCTTAGACTAATGAACATGAGATTTCACATTCTAGAACACAACTGTACCCTCCCCCCAGGATTAGCCCTTCTGGAACTTTTCATTTTTGGTTAAGTCTCTCTCTTTTTCTCCATCTTTTATTTATTTATTTTTTAAATTTTATTTTGGAGACAGAGAGAGTGTGAGTGGGGGAGACGGGCAGAGGGAGAGAGACAGAGAGAGAGACAGAGAGAGAATCTTAGGCAGGCTCTACGCTCAGTGTGGAGCCTGAAGCATGGCTTGATCCCAAGACCCTGCGATCATAACCTGAGCCAAAATCAAGAGTCAATCTCAACCAACTGAGCCACCCAGGTGCCCCTCCCCATCTTTTTTGAAAATTTCTCTGGAAGTCTCCCTTCTTCACTGGAATGATCTGTGATCAGATCAGATTTCGATCTTTCAAAACCACTGTTTTCCGAAACCATGTTTCTATTTTAAGATTTCTGAACACTGGAAAGTTCCCATATTTTTCTGAATTTCTCAAAAACCAAATGGTTCTCCTTCTTTGTCATTATAAGATTAAAAGGGGTGTGTTTACTTCTTCCCAAATTTTGGCCCCTTCTATGTCAATAACCAGTTATTCATTTCTGGTTACAATTAAATCTAGATTTGCATTTCACCATTGTTTTCTTTAGCTTATTTTCAGGGAATTAAAACTGTCATAGATATCAGGATCACTGAAGTTCCTCATTATTACTATCTCACTTTTCTCCTAAATTCCTAATCTTATGAAGAAAACATCACCTTTATTCTCAAGTTGACAAAATGGCCAGATCATATCACTCAATTTGCTGTATCACAAAACTTTTTCTTCCTTCCTTTCCTTCCTCTCTGTTTCTTACTTTCTCTTTCTTTCTAGTTTTATACCATGCTGTTGCCAACTTCACGCAAGTACACGTAAGCCTACTATTAGTTCTCTTATCTTCTAAAAAATATGATTTTTTAAAATAAAACCTGCATTTAAATCCCCATATTTCAAAGCTCTCACTGCAACAAGTATATATGATTTCTGTTAATTTCTTGGCATATTTACTGATGTTAAAAATTCTTAAGTTTACTCTCTAGCGCATATTTAAGGCATTCTTACATGGATCTCTGAGATCTTAAGTCTTATTTCTAATCTCAAGAATACTGAGGAGTTCTCACTGAGCCACTTCTTTAATGCACTCCGACTTGGCCCATAATACCCAATTCTTATGCTCTTCTTTTACTCTCAGTAAAATTTCCTTGATGGGTGGGGCATGATCAAATCTTCATCATTAGTCTCAAACTCTGGCCTAAATTCCAACCCCATCTCCACCTTTACATCCCACAAGTGCCTCAACTCAACTGGTCCAAGGAAAGATCTTTCCCAGCTCCTTCTCCACCACAAAAAAATCAATCAATCAATTCCTCCTAGTTCCATACTTGTGTCATCACTGGCATTATCCCTGCCCTAGCTGACAAAGTTAGAAACTTAGAAGTCCTTCACTGATAAGGATTTAGATATTTACACACTCAAGGAAAGTTAAGAATATATCATTTCACAGAAAGATATCTCATAAAAAAAGCAGCAGTTATACTTCTTTATCCTGCATGGCATGCTTTTTTATATAGATGTGAAAATTATGGCATCAATATACAATTATAAATATTTTCTCAAACGACAGAGACCCACCCACCTGGCCTGATTATAGTGCTTTAACCAAAATGAATAAAACTGAAAGGACAAAGAAAAAAACAAGAAAAAACTAGTGACTACACTCAACCTACCTGTACAATAGGAGCACCGATTCCTCCATTGAGCCAAACCCAGTGAAGAGTTGGGATCACTCCGTATCCCGAAACAGAACAGAAGATGATAGAACGGAGCCTCTGCCACTGTTGTGTGAGGTAATTGGGATGGATCTGTGCAAAGAACACGGCCAGGATCATGGCAAGCACTGTGATCAAGTACACTTGACGCCAGTACTAGAAGGAAATCACATTTTAATTGTTACACAAATAAGAGAAGGAAAAGAGTAATTCTGGCTTTTACCTTACACGTTCCAAACTTAAGTTGTTTTTTCATCTCTAAACATGATTGACTTCCTTCCTTAAAACTGTACGTTCCACACAACTGTCAGGCTTCTTAGGATGACAAACCAAATTCCAAAGTGAGCTGTTGAAACCACACTTATTCATACAAAAGCATTTTCTGAGTACCTATTATATGCCAGAGACTATTTCAGTCCTGTAGAAACGAAGCTGACTGTGACATGGACTCTCCCAGTGGGTGAGCTCATAGACTATGGGAGGGGCAGACATAAAGAAATGATTATAATCCAACGATAAGAGCTGTGAACAGGTTGTTGTAGAGACACAGAGGAGGGGGCAATCATTACCTGGAGGAGCTTGTAAATGCTTCACAAAAGAGAGGATATCTAAGCCGCCATGAGGCTTAGTCATGAGGAATATATATGATTTTGTGGGCAGAGGGAGTCCTCAAGGAAAAGGAACAGTGCATATGGTGGGAAGGTGTTGAGAAGGGAGGCTGAAAGGCAGCGTACTGTGAGGCTAAGTATTTGGAACTGTACCACTGGCACCAGGGGACTAGCAGGGCTCCTTAAGAATGAGATGACGGGCTTGGTTTTCAAAATGACTTATTAGAAATATAACTCTGACATCAGTGTGAAAAACAAAGAGGTGACAGGAAGCCAGCAAGAATATTATTTAGAATAATTGATTCAAAGAGAGAATAGGGGCTTGGACCCTTGCTGAACAAAGAAGACAGATGTAAGCAGCAGATTCAGGAAACTTTTTAAAAATAAACTAAAATCTTAATGGCTGACTGGATTTGTGAGAGCGCAGGAGAAGATGGATAGAATGTTTCCAGTACAGAAAGCCATGTAAGTGGCTTCTACTAATGCAGCAAATGAGGAAAGATGAGCCAGGTGTGAGGAGTGGGGCGGGGTAGGGAAAGAGAAAGGATGGGAAAACATGAGACAATGTTCATTTAATTTTTTAAATGTTTAATTATTTTTCAGAAAGAGAAAGACAGAGTGAAAGCAGAGGAGGGGCAGAGAGAGATGGAGACACAGAATCCGAAGCAGCCTCCAGGCTGTGAGCTGTCAGCCTAAGAGCCCATTGCGGGGCTCGAACTCATGAACTGTAAGATCATGACCTGAGCCCAAGTCAGACACTTAACCGACTGAGCCACCTAGAAGCCCCAAAACAACGTTCATTTTAAAATATCTTAAGTCTGAAGGGCTTATAGAATATTTAGGTATCTAAATGAGCAGTTGGAAACTCAAAAGTTAGCATCACATTGAGCAGAGTTTTTCAGCTGGGCTTCAAGGACTCCCGTGGGCTCTTAGCTCCCTGAAACCACATGTCTAATTGTTTGGTTAGTTTGTGCCCAAATGTATATTCTCCTGGATGGAGGGTCCAGAGTTTTCAATAACATTCTCAAATTAGTCTGAGTTCCTTAAAAGATAAAGAACCACTAGACCAACTGGATATTTGGAAATGATTAGGTACCAGAAGAAAGAGAACACTTTGTCCTTTAAATAATCATTAGTTCCAGTGGTTGTCTTTCCCTTGGACTTCTAGCTTTTCTGAAAAGAGATGCACAAAGTGTCCCACTAGTCTCCTGGATTATCAGGGTATGTTTAGGAAAAGGTAAACAGAAAACTGGCTACATTTCAGAGAAAGAAAGAATAAGACAAGTAAAATAATTCAAATACTAGATAATTGCAGTCCCAAGATGCTAGCTATCAGCTTATTCTCTCAAATTTTCTACAAGATATAAACAGTTTCATGCAAAATCGGTACGTGAAAGCTGAGCAGATATGAATAGTTCACTCAAATCAAATCAATTTACAAGGTTAACTGCATATGTATTTAATATATGCTTATGTTGCAACATGATTAGGCCTGAAAAGTAAATGACTCCTACGTAAGTGGCTACAGTGAATAATTCCCTTACTTCAAACCAAATTTATGATTTTTTTCTTTGCTAGTTTCACACTTCAGCTTTACTGGCAGTCATCTCTGTTACCGCATGGAGACAAGGTCCTACTTAAGAATTCCCGAGTCAGTGGAATCTTGTGCTGTAACCAATCCTCCCAGTAAGTGACGGCTGGGGAGCCTGACTTGGAGCACCTGCCACATGTGGAGGCTTGTGGAGAAGACAGGCTCTAGTCCTTGTGGAGAGGGCTGGGATGCCTAGTAGGTGAACTGCCCCCGAGCAGCTCTGTCCTAGCTCTGAGAGGAAGAAACTAAAGGACAAAAGAAAAAGAAAAGAGTAACGCAGGGGAACAGGACTTTCTGAGTGGAAAGGCTTCAGAGGTACTGGGCCCAGGGGAAAATTTGGTTTGCTTCCTCAAAGTTGATCTAGAACTCAGAATAGATACATATTTGTTAGTGACTCACCTCCTAACTGGCCTGTCTCTATGCCTACCTCCAAACATAAGATTAAGGAAAGGAAAATATATTTCTTATGAAGAACTGGGTCAACACACTCACAGACAAACTATTTTTTTTCACTGAGAGAGTTGTAAAGGATCAGGGAAAATGGAAAGGAGCAGCCAGCTTCCTAATTTTATCAAGTGCTAACTCTGACACAAAAATAAAAGATACGTAATGTGCATCTGAGGAATCATGTAGCTATATGGATTTAGTGGAAACATAACTTAGTTTCAAGAAAATATCTTTAAATATGTATTTCAATGGAAAATTAGTAAAATGAGTATGGAACTGATAATGGATGTTAGAGATGTTAGAGATCACCTTTTGAAAAGTGAGTTTATATATACACAAGACTCTTCTGTTTCTTCTATAAGTTAATTATGTGTTTATTCAGAAGTTCAAAGGAAACATTCATGGCAATAAAACCTAAGACCTATGTGAAAAGTAGAATATAAAATGTTTTAGGTTACTTACATTATTACAATAAAAAGCATAAAATACACCGGAGACATAGCAGCCCAGTATTCCAATAGAAATTCCTGCATAATCTAATGCCATCCATCTTCGACAGGTTTTTTCTGATCGATGGCAGGAAAAAAGATGATAGCCCACAGAGCAAAGCATACAGACCTATGGAAAATAAAATAAATCTTAGCGACACTAAACAACAAGAAATTAAAGCAACTTCTGAATGGCGTTCAGTTTCCTTTTTAAAAAATGCCCACTATAGAAGTAATCCATGTCCTTAAAAAAATAATCAAAGAACACAGAATTGTATGATGTAAAAACATAAGCTCCTCCCACTTAATCTAGTCCCCAGTATTCACCCCAATAACATTTTTTATGTGTCCTTCTAGGTATCTTCAAAGAATGTATTGAACACGTATGATATACAAGTCCACACGGATAGATATAATATATACTTTTTAAAGTTAATCAGATGGAATCAAAATATACATTCTATTCTGCAATTTTGGTTTCTTCGCTTAAGACTTTCTGTGTCTATGTAAGATTTCATTGTACAAAGTTTATTTTGGGGTTGTGAGTTACACACAGTTTGTTGTGTCCAAGAAAAAATAATTATGACTTATGCTGACTTTATATGTTGTCACATTGAGAGCAAAGCTAATATGATTCAAGCAGCTGCTCTGAAGACTGATAAGGTCATTATGCTTAAACTCCCTCCAGGTATTTAATGGCTGCACTGGGGATACAAGGATGAGACCTCTGTTCTTTGAGAGATTTTTCTGAAATGAGTGAACAAACAGAGGTGATATAAGAAGTCCTACAGGAAAAGTCAGTGCAGAGCACAGGGGAGTAGGGTGGGGACTGGGCTTATGGGTGTATGTGTGCATTTGGTGGGTGAAGTGGTGGAGAAAAGAGATGCCACTTGCACTGGATCTTAAAAGGTTGTTCTGGCATTCATCAAGAATATAAATAAAGGTGCCCACATGTTTATTGGAGGGTCAGAGCAGGAAAAGCAACATATTGAAAACACAGAACCATTAAGGAGTGTCATGTGGCCCTCTCATAATACAATTATGACAAGTCCTACATATCACATCAGAGAGTTTTAACGTCAATATTATGGGCTAGGTGTGATACTACTGAAGAGTTTAAGTCCAGTCTTACAGAAGGGCTAAGGTGGGAGATTCTAAGAGTAGTCCTGAAGAGCAATGCAAAGAGCCTATCCTAAGCCAGTGATAGTGACGGTGCAGAAAATGGCCCAGATAAATTATATGAAGTAGGTCAAGTTGATAAATATTTTGTAAGCAACTGCTAAGGCAGACAAATGGTCAGCTAGCTATTCCAGAATCTGGTCATGAAACAAACCTAATCAGGCACCATAGCCTCAATATCATTATTTAAAACAGCATACCTGGCCACAATATCATTTCTTCATCCATAGTCTAAAATCTTCATCAGTCTGTGGCTTTGGCTACTAAGCCATCAAGTCAGAGTTCACTGACCCAATTAAATATAATTCTAAGAAGCTTGGTTATTTGTTTTCTCAGATTACCCTTGAGATTAAACACAATAAATCCAGAGAATATTCTCATTGACAAGGAGACATCTCATCGTCACAGTGCTGAGTGACACAAAACAGCAAGCAGAGATGATCATAGCTCAGAATCAGGCAGACAGCTAGGCTGGCAGGTAGGAGGCAGCTGTGCATACACAAATGTCTGGGGGAATTTAACCGAAATGTCAACAAGTGTGGTTACCTCTGGGAAGTAGAATTTCAAATGGCTTTTACTTTCTGTGATACACTGTTTTATTTGTTTTCAACTCCTACATGAATATATTTTATGGCAATAGTAAGAAACAGTAAAGCTAATTTCATTGTAAAAAGGAAAATAAAGAGAAAAATTACACTTATCAAAAGGAAAGTTGAAATCAGAGTGTTAGTAGAGAACACTGAGTTTTTAAAAAGTAAGTCCATGTGTAGTATGTTCTGTTTTAAAAGAAATGTGTTTCTAGAGTTCCTTTAAAAAAACTGACTAAAAAATTATCTGGCAAATGAAGTATGGTTTCAGTTTTCTGGAAACTCTCCTTCTGTATATCTCACTTCATCAAGGTAGACAAATAATTAGAGTGTGACATCTTACATCTAATCTCCTGGGCATGATAACCAAATACTTCAGGATCTGGCTTCTTCCTCTCCAGCCTCATCTTTCTCCATTCTCCTATGATCTAACCAGAAAGGCCAACACCTACAAGTCCATAAAGTGCTGAACTGTCTCTTGCTTCTGGGCCTTTACACAAGCTATTTTTTTCTATATAAATGCGTTGCCTCACTCCCTTCTGCCCTCCCACCTCGCTGACTTGATCTTTATGATAGGTTGGTTTTGTTCTGCACTGTATTCCCGATGCCTAGCTTAGTGCCTGGGCCTACATAGGAGGCATTCAAAAAATATCTGTGGAACTGAATGTAAATGAAGTGAACCTAGGGAAAGGCATTCGTAGATTCTACTCTTCCCTGGGACAGAAGGACCTCTGGAAAAGTTCAAAGTCCTTGAAATTACATTCTACTATTCTACATTCAGAATGTACTCTAATCTGGTTGGTAGGAAAGCACTGAGCATATAAGATGGTAGAAGTAAAAGAAAAAAAATTATGTCTTTTAAAAATTAAATGTAAATCAATCCTTGTGGTTTACCACATTGCCTGCTGACTCTAAGAATTTGGAAAAATTGAGCAAGTTATAAATTTAATTTCATAAAAATAAAAATAACAGAAATGATAGTTTTCAGTAGGGAAGATGTGTCATCTTTATCTGTCATGAGCATTTTGTACAGAAAGATCATTGCACTAGTAGCCAGAATAGGATTTTACTGTCCTGCTGAATAACCCTGGGCAAGTGTCACTGTAACATTCCAGGTGTTTCTTCATTGGCAGTTGTTGTAATTATTTCAGCCTTTCAGCTCTGCAATGCATTGTTTTCTTAAGCCAATATGAAAATTAGTATGCTTTCCCTGAGCTAACGTCAGTTCTGGCTGGATGGTGAACGAATAAAGGGCAGACCTGGGGGTTGAGGAAAATATGTGGGATTCTCAAAGTACACACTATATATACAATTAACAGTAGAGTATAAACCAGTTCTTGTGGTTCCATACAAATTTTAGGACTGTTTGTTCTAATTTTGAGAAGAATGCTGGTGCAATTTTGATTGGGATTGCATTGAATGTGTAGATTGCTTTGGGTAATAATGATATTTTAATAATATGTATTCTTCTGATCCATGAGCATGGAATGTTTTTCCATTTCTTTGTGTCTTCTTCAATTTCCTTCATAAGTTTTCTATAGTTTTCACCATACAGTTCTGCTTATTAATGGTTATTAATGGCATCTTAGTGAATAAGATACATGTAAAAATTTATCTATAAAAAAATTGATTCATTTTCATCTTAAAACCAGAGATGGATTCTAAGAGATGTTTAGGCTGCAATCAGGACAAAACTCAAACCTGAGAATGAGTATATCTTTATACTTAAAAAATAAATTTCAAATAATAACAACACAAAAATACAGGTATTCTTTCCCTCAAAGAAATTTAAAATATTATTCCAGAAACTGGAATTGGGAAAAAAGGGGAGGGGAGATGTTCCCAATGTGTTTTTAGTCATTTTACTCCCAAGTTTTAACCTGAGTTGAATGATGAAGGTCTGAAATTAAATGACATGGCACGAAAGCAATATCTGTGAAGCTGGCTTACAGATAAACCTTTCAAACAGCGGCCACAGGTTAACTGCAGGGAGTGCTGGCCTCTATTTGGAAGAATGGAGATGACAGCTTTTTCTTTTAATTTTTATGTTTTTCTGTACTCTGCATTTTATTTAACTTTAAAAATGTCAGCAGGGGTTGGGTCCACATTTGACTTCTTAGGATTATCTGCTTTTAAAACTATTATATGTAACTCTTCAAGGGATTTTACGGATCCTAGAAAACAAATGTAAGTGCTAGGGAACTAACAAATGACACATTAGAAAGGTAGAGAGGAGGAGAGAGAAGGGAGAGGGGAGGAGAGAGAAGAGAGAGGGGAGGAGAGAGAAGGGAGAGAGCAGGAGAGAGAAGGGAGAGGGGAGGGGAAACTGAAAGCATCTGAAACCAGGCAAGCTAAAATGACCAAAGGAAATTAACATTAAAGCAACAGAAAAGATCACTGCCAGGAAAACAAGACGTTAAATTAAGACAGTAAGGAAACAAATGCAAAATCACAGACCTATAAATAGAAAAAAGACGCAAAATCTTCTCAAATAAGTTTTAGGCAGTAACTAGTATTCTATCTCAGCCAGAAAAAAAGAGTACAGAGGTTCCTCTCCTTATCTTTTTTTTTATCCTTATCTTAATCTTAAAACTGAAATGTCTAAAAAGGGAAAGAGGAAAGAAAAGAAACTTTCTCAGTCTTTAAAATCTATTGGATTTCAACATTTTTGGTGCTTATATTATAAAAATGAATAAACCTATATGCTATGTTGGGGCTCTGTAAAGCAAGTGGTAGGTGTGAAGTAAGAGCACTTGCCCAAGCTTGTCTGACTAAAGTTCTCTTTACCAAAAGTAGTATTTGTGAAAATGACTTACCTGGAAGCAGAAAAGACAAATAGAACAAATTACAAAATCTTCTCTGGACGCACTTGCCGAAGGTAACACTGATGTCATGTCATATATTCCCAGTGTGAAGAAGAGAAAGAAACCCAGCAAATGACTCCAGATGTTTACTGTCTCATTAGATAAAATAAACAAACTGGAAAACAAACAAAAATGCATCTCAGATTTATACTGGCTTGCTCACTGTCAGCATCTAAAAGATTAGGGACAGTTTGGGGGGCAGTTATCCAACACTTGTCACTTTAAGCCCTTAACTCCATCTTTGCCTTCTAAAGATGATATCTCAGGCTGCTTAATCTTTAAAAGGATATTAAAAAAAATTTTTAATGTTTATTTTTTGAAAGAGAGACACAAAGTGTGAGCGGGGGAGGGGCACAGAGAGGAGACACACAATCTGAAGCAGGCTTCAGGCTCTGACCTGTCAGCACAGAGCCCGATGCCAGTCTTGAACTCATGAACTGTGACATCATGATCTGAGCTGATGTCAGACATTTATTTAATTGACTGAGCCACCCAGGTGCCACTGTTTAATTAATTTTTAAGTTCATCCATGTCTCCACCAATCCTGACATTTTAGAGCTTTTTTGGTGCTCACCTCTATTATCATATTTACCATTCCCTTCCTCATATGAGTTATTTATGTATAAATTCCATCTTGTCCTTTGGCCTATCAACTCCCTGATGGCTGGCACCATCCTTCTTTATGACATCACTGTCCCAAGCAGAGTGCCTTGCTCAGATTAGATGCTAAATGTCTACAGAAATGAACGTGCAGATTAAAACTGGATGTCAGCTAGCATACTTTCATGTTCAAAAGCAGGTATCTGAAAACCTGCTAAGTATAAGGTTAGGCACAAACTTAAAATAACTTTTTAGTACTCTGCAAATGCAAAGTTAGACTCAAGAGAAGCAGAATACAAACTGTACCACTAGAAATGTCCTTTAAGATGCGCATGTTGCGGGGCACCTGGGTGGCTCATTCGGTTAAGTGTCCGACTTTGGCTCAGGTCATGATCTCATGGGTTTGGGCCCCACATCGGGCTCTGTGCTGACTGCCAGCTCAGAGCCTGGAGCCTGTTTCAGATTCTGTATTTCCCTCTCTCTCTGACCCTCCCCTGCTCATGCTGTCTCTCTCAGAAAAAAAAAAATATATATATATATATATAAAAATTTAAGATGCACATGTTGGGAGTAGTGCCTGGGTGGCTTAGTCAGTTGAGCGTCCAACTCTTGATTTTAGCTCAGGTCATGATATGATTCATGAGATCGAGCCCCACGTTGGGCTCTAAGCTAACAGTGCAGAGCCCTCTCTGCCCCTCCCCAGTTTGCCTGCACACACTCGTTCTCTTCCCCTCCCCCCTCTCAAAATAAATAAATAACCGTTAAAAAAAAAAAAAAGATAAGCCTGCTGGAACAATTTTGCTGTGGCTGAAACCAAACTAGGTCACAGGTGGCATGAGTTTCTCCTACTTTAGGAACAATAGGTTACTGTTAATATCAGTACTATTCACTCACTAAATGCCTTAACTAAATTCCTAATTGCTCTGAGTTTAAGTAGTACAGGGCGGTGTAGAGTGCACCACGCCAACCACAAGTCAGGGGGTCACTGTTCCTCCATCCTCACCCGCAGCAACAAATTAGCTCTGTGATCATGAGCAAGTCACTTAACCTCTCTGGCTTTGGTTTCAACTATAAAACAAAGGAGCTGGATTAGATGCTGCTGCAAGTCCCTTCCAGCTCTTTAATTCTGTGAATTGTTTCACCAGCTGTGAATAGAGCTTATCTGATTATTTACTGAAAGGTGACATCACGCCTAATGATTAAAAATCTCTTGCATTTCTCTTGCAAAATCCAATCTTTTTGTTTAAACTAAGATCTTTGAAATTTACTGGTTCAGAATCCTTATAAATAAGCATTAATTCGACCTCTAACATACTGAATTGGTAGAAATCACCATGGTTCTCATTTTCCCATTTTCACACATCACAAGCATAGCACAGTCTCACATTATCAATTATCTATCAAGAATAAAATGAATCTTGTTATCATGAATTTCAGGCTTTACCCTGTACAAGCAACAAGTATAAAGACTACTTACATTGGGGTGGGGGTAAGGATGCAGGAATGTGAAGGAACACCTCTAATTACATGACCATTTTGATGATCAATATTCTGCTCTGCCTACTGCCTCAGAGCTTTTCACTTTGTGAATCCCACTATCCCCTGACTAACTGAACTGAGAGGCACAACCTTGGCATGCTGCTTCCAACTAACAGTGTTGGCATAACAGCTGAGACATACAAAACCTCGCCCTACATCCAAAATCTGTTCTAGTCACTCTTGACCGCTAAAAGAAGAAAGGGCAAAAGCTGAACCTGGAAAGGACCAAGCTGGTGGGACGAGCACTTGGAAAAATATTTCCTGTAGAGAATCTACTCTTATGCTGTGAGAAGTTAGCCCATACTTTGTTCACCTTCAAAATCAATAATCCTAGGGGAGCCTGGATGGTTCAGTTGGTTAAGCGTCTGACTTTGGCTCCAGTTACGATCTCACAGTTTATGGGTTCGAGTCCTGCGTCAGGCTCTGTGCTGACAACTAGCTGATAGCCTGGAGACCGCTTCTGATTCTTTGTCTCCCTCTCTCTCTGCCCCTCCCCTGCTCACATTGCCTCTCTCTCAGAAAAAAATAAAACATTTAAAAAAACTCAAAATCAATAATCCCAATGATAACAAGTCAGTCACCATTTACTGAGTACTTGTTAGGTGCCACACCCTGTGTAGCATTTTATATATATCATCTCATTTAATCCTTGGTATTTTTTAGAGCACACATTGTAATTACCATCATTTTCACAAAAGGGGAAAAAAAAAAAAAAGCTCAGTGAGGTTAACTTTGGTTCAGGGTCCCGCTATGGTTAAGTGGCAGATCTGGATAACCAAGTCTTTCTGACTCAACAGCCCAACATCAAAGCACTGTATGTATTTCATTTCTTAATCCATGAGATTTGGATGCTAATATCAGAATGCAGAGGACTATTGCTACATGGGTATAAAATACTTAAGGCAATCCACTACCTGCTCTGTCCTTGTGGACTCCACATCCATAGGAGGGCCTAGCCCTGATTTCTTGTGTAATAATTTATGCAAAGGAGACAGTGGGGGCGGTGGGGGGGGGGTTGCAAATAGTATTTAGGATTCAAACTGTGAAGGTCTGTGGGCCATCCACTGAAGTAGGGATGGGCAGTAATGTCACCTTGTGACTGTGAGTCTGAAACACCATCAAGACAGGGCAGAAAAAACTGAGGAAAAGATTATGCTGAGAAAACAACCAAGAATCAGATGCGTGCTTGCTTCCTGAGCAACTTAATAGCCTACATTCCAGTGCTGGGGTTTGTCACTACAGTATCCTACAGCTAACCAGTATCTGCACCTTAATTCTCTTAGTTAAAAGAAAAACGTTTATTTATTTACTGAGAGAGAGAGAGAGAGAGAGAGAGAGAGAGAGATGGCAGGGGAGGGGTGTGGAGAGAGAGAGGAGAGAGAGAATCCCAAGCAGACTCAGAGCTGTCAGAGCAGAGCCTGATGCAGGGCTCAAACTCAGGAACCTTGAAATCATGACCTGAGCTGAAATCAAGAGTCTGGATGGTTAACTGACTGAGCCACCCAAGTGTCCCTGTACCTTAATTCTCTTAAAGTGGAGTTCTATATTTAAGTACATACTAAGTACATACTTGACGTTTTAACACAAAGCAATTCTACTATTCTAAGAACTAGAACACTGGGTTTTCAGTTTTGTTTTTTAAAATCCAGGCTTTCAAGGGTCTCATAGTTTTAAAGGTTTAGATGATGAAGAAATTCCTTTCTTAGAAATGCTTCTGCGGTGCTCTATGGAGGGTGGTGCCCGTTATAGGCTCTCCTTGCTATAGTGCTTTTCCTACACATTGTTTTTCACACTGGTTATTATGCAATAGAGTTATTATCTCTTTAATGTGTGTCACTCAGGCCAAACCTTAGTAGTTTCATGAGAACAAGGGCCTTGTTTGCTGTTCTCTGCATGACTTAGTATAGTGCCTGGCACCTAGGAGGGGCTCCATAGTATCTGCTCAGTGAATGAATCAGGTTTCTCTCTCTCTCTCTCTCTCGCTCTCTCTCTCTCTATATATACACACACATATATATACATTGCACATGGCAGTGTGAACTTGTTCCTATTATATTAATATAATTTCCTATTATATGTCATATCAGGCATTTATTTGGCTCAAAGAATCCGAGTTTCCACAGGGCTGCTCTAAAAATAAAGCTTAGGTATACACAGGGGCAAGTATCGCTTGGCCACTGTCAGTGGGGTTGATTTCAATAAGCACCAAATGGGATAAAGGATGTAGAAGCCCTCTGTAAAATGCAAAGCGCCATATAAGAAATTGCTATAATGGTAATTATCATCATTGTTAACTGTCATTATTCCGTGATCTGGCACCCGAGTGGGGGAGGAGGAAAGATAACGAGAGGGGAGAGGTGGCAAAAAGGAATGAAACGGATGGGGCAGCTAGGAAATGATGGGCACGGGGAAAAGCAGGGAAAGCAGCAGGGACCCCAGACAAAAAAGGGTGTAGGTGGGGAGGAGGGGCTGCCGGCGCGCCCCCCAGGCGCGCCCCGCGGAGGCGGCCAGACTGTACCTTTTGATACACAGCCTGGAGGGCAGGTAGGCCCGGTAGCCGTCGGTGATGTACGGGTTGTCCTTGAGGGACACGGGGATCTGTTCGTAGGTGTAGAGGCGGATGCCGCGGGGCACCAGGACTGGCCAGTACTGGTAGCTGCCCAGCTCGATGTAGTGCGCGCTCTTCAGCAGCTTCTGATGCATCCTGCCCAGCCGCCGCCGCTCCCTGGCAGGGGAGCTCGCCCGGGCCCCGCCTCCCCGGGGAGGGGGCTTTGCCGCCGCCGCCCCCGCCCCGGAGCCCGCGAACGCAGCGCGAGGTCCTACGGCCCCGCCCGCGCCCAGGCCCCTCTCTGCGCTCACACCGGGAACCGCCGTCAGCGCCGCTGCTGACCGGGCGGCGTCGCAGCCTTCTCTGACGTCAGCACGCCGCGGCGGGCCCCGCCCCGAAGAGGGACGGGGCTGGCCGGGCCGGGGTTGGGGCGACGCGGGGAAGGATGTGCGCCTGGGCTGGCGGCTCGGGGCTGGTCCTTCAGTCAGCTCGGGGCTGAGGCTGCTGGGTTTGTCCTCATCGGCGAGAAGAGCACAGAACTGTGCAGGCGAATACAGGTGGTGTTTTCCTCAAGGGGTTAAAAAGAAAAGAGTTCATTGGAAGAAAAATGGAGCTGACTCTTCACCGTTTATGTTACGCCTAGAATCTCACACATAGCATTAGAAGGGACTCTGGAAGTTTAAGTGGCTGAAAATAGAGGAAAGCTGATGCACAGGGAACTTTTACCAAAATCGAGCATACACAAAGCCATAGAGAAACCCCCAGCACATTCAAAACACTGTAACCATTCAGGGTATGTTCTCTGACCACATTAGAATTAAAGTAGAAATAAACAAAACAAAAATTTCCCAAATGTCTGAAATTGAACAGAAGGCTTGTCAGTATTTCATGGGTGGAGAAACAAATTACAGTGGAAATGAGAAAATCTACTGAACTGAATGATAAAGATGGAACAGCGCCAAACTTGGGGTGCAGCTAATACAGTGCTTAAAGGAAAAGTTATAGCCTTCTTTGTTCCTGGTTGTGAATTATGATGAAAATGATTTTTTTTCATAACAGCAACAGGGTAAAATAGTTTTGCATCCCTATATGTAGCATCCTTAGCTCACTGTTTGGCATGCAATAATCACTTCTGATTCCCATTATTTATTATTATTGTTAGTAATATTAGCTGATATTTGAGAAACAGTATGGCTTAATGATAAAGTTCAGAGCTTTGAAGCCATGTTACCTGGATTTGAATTCTTGTGCAGCCATTTACTAGCTATATGCCCTTGTGTAAGTATTTAACCTCTTTGTGCCTCAGTTTCCTTGTTGGTAAAATAGAGATAATAGCAGTATCTTATGTGGTGAGGATTAAATGAGTGAATCCATGTAACAGAAAAGTGTCAGGCATATTGTTAGCACCCAAAAAATGTTGGCCATTATTAGAGTTTAGGTGAAGGTATGTTAGTAGATAAAACTGGAAAGATAAATTGAAATATATCTTAAATGGACTTAATGTCATGCAAAGGCATTCTTTCAGCCATGGAGCTAAAATTTATGTTTGAGAGCTAACTGTGTGCCTAGTATATTATCTCTATTGAAGGTTACTATGTGCAGGAATTTTTATTTCCTAATGGAGGAAATTCATGTCTGAGAATGCCTGTCACTCCATTGACCCCTCTGGGAAGCTCCTTCTGCATGTATTCCTGCTGGTATCACATGACACGAACTTGTGGATGAGTGACCATGGTGACCCAAAAGTGGATAAGTGATCATGAGGTGTCCTGACACAAATGTCCATATAAAAACAACAGTAATTAGCTTATCCAATTAGTTTGTTTTGGGAATTTGACCTGGGCATGTGGGAAGGATGTCTGTAGCCTGGTATTTGAAAAAGAAGTAGAAAGATGCTCAGAGATGATCAGAGATTGAGAAAGAATCTGAGTTGTAATCATGGGTCACTAGGGTGAAGAACTAAGAATGGCAGCTGCTTTGACTCTCAACAATGCACCCATGAAACCTGTTGCAAAATACTTCTATACTGACTTAAATAATTTGTAACCCACTTCACTTTTTTCCTAATTCATTCATGTGGTTTAAATTTTTAAATAAGCACTCTTTGATATCAAGCATTTAAAAAAAATGTTGAGAGACCTCAGAGAGAGTTGCAGGAGCAACATTGCTTTGGGGCACATCTAACATGATAATACAAAAGGGAGAAGTCCCAATTCTGCATAGATAGCCAGGGAATTTTGGCACTTTGGAGGCTCTGGCTGTTTAATCATGGTTCTTGACAGAGAATTTAGTGGACTGGTAGAGGAATGACCTCTGGTGGGGTCTCCAGCACCTGGAGATAGGTGAGGGGCCAAGAGCAGCATGTAGCAGGAGAATTCAGTGCCACTGAAGTGACAGGTTGGGGAACTGAACTACCTAGTGAGAGATAGTGAGAAAATGGCAACACCCAATGATGAGCACCTGTGAGACACATCTTGGGTTTTAAAGACACTTGGGGAGGTGGGGGGGGGGGAACTGAGGGTGTTCTCAAGAATCTGGAAGCCCTACATTCTCACATGGGCCCAAGAGCAAGGAAACTGAATTTTTACTCTTTCAGTGAGTCAATCTGTATTTTATAGGCATATGCAGTTTTGAACAACTTGGGATATGCCTTGTTTTCCAGGATAATTTTCAGTGAGCTGGGATGGAGAGACATGGGACCTACCTGGAGCATTTGGGTGAGTGAGATAATTTTTCCTTACTTTTCCTCCCTTCCTTACTTCCTGTATACCCTTTTGGCATTTTACAACTCTAGCAGTGTTGGAGTGAGACTTGCAGGTATTAGAATGAACACAACATTTACACTTATTGAGTTCCAACTAATGCCACACATTTTCTTAGACACTAAGAAAACAAAGGTGAATAAGAAATCTTTTGCACATCTCAGCAGCATTGACATTTTGACCACTTCTTCAACTTAAATTCTCCTTTCTGGACTTTTGGGATATCTCCTACCTGGATTTTTTTCCTGACCTTCCTGGCCTGTCCATCCCAGGGACCTTTGATACCTGCTATTTCTCTACCTGATCTTTTTATTTTTTAATTTTTATTTTCCAATGTATTTTTATTTATTTGAGAGAGAGGCAGCATGAGCAATGGAGGGTCAGAGAGAGAGGGAGACACAATCTGAAACAGGCTCCATCCAGGCTCTGAGCTGTCAGCACAGAATCTGACGTGAGGCTTGAACCCATGAATCATGAGATCATGACCTGAGCCGAAGCCAGATGCTCAACTGACTGAGCCACCCAGGCGTCCCTTCTCTACCTGATCTTTAAGCCAGAGTGTTTTCCAGGATTCTTTCTTCATTTTTTTTTTTTAAATATTCTACTTTTATTCTGTGTATTTTCATGGCTTCAGTTACTATCTTTAAGCTGATGGCTCTCAAATCTGCAGTTTCTGGCCAGATCTCCCTTTTGGGCATCTGGGTTCACATATAGAACTGGATATAGAAAACCTGAAATATTAGAAATAAACTCATTATCTTTTCTCCTAAATCTGTTTTTCATCCTACATCCCTATTCACTCCGCATCTTAAGTGTCAGAGTTATTTCCTCCCCTGGCGCCGTTTTATCAATACACTCCTTTCTGTCCTCCCATTCACTTTAACCAGTTCCTCTCCAGTGATGTCAGCTTCCCTGCCTCATTAGGCTGGTCTGAAAAAACACGAACAACAAGGAGTTCGTCACTGTAACTATACCCTCTTTAATCCTATGCTCGAGTGTCTGAAGAAAATGACAAAATGGCATGGATTGGTATCGCTACAAATTCAGCTTGCAGTCTCTATGAAACTTCCAACACTACTTTGGATTTTTTTTTTTTTAATTTATTTCTAGGAGAGAGAGAGAGAGACAGTGTGAGCAGGGGAGGGTCAGAGAGAGAGGGAGTCACAGACTCTGAAACAGGCTCCAGGCTCTGAGCTGGCAGTCAGCACAGAGCCCGATGCGGGGCTCGAACCCACGAACCGCGAGATCATGACCTAAGCGAAAGGCGGAGCTTAACCGACTAAGCCACCCAGGCACCCCTACTTTGGATATTTTTAACATTCACTGAATACCTTGTGCTCCCCACCTCCCACCTGTATCAACAGATAAGTCCTTTACTATTTCACAGAGAAAATCGAGAACATAGAGTGGGAATGTCCTCAACTTTCCACTGTTAGCCCTCCATCTTGAAGCCTACCACAAATTCTTTGTCCTTTTCATGTCTCAGTAGAAATGACCACTTTCAGCCTCCTACATAAGGTCAACATGCTACTTATTTTTTTGTACCATATTCCCTGTAGTATCCTTATGGATTTTGCTCTGTCCATTCTGTCAGATGTACCTCCAACATTTGCCTTTCTATTTTTCCTCTCCTTTTGCCACATGAACATGTTCAGGTCTCATTCATTTTAAAACAAACAAGCAAAAAGAGAAAACCTCTCTCTTTGCCCTGTGTTATTCTAAACCCACATTTCTCTCTCCTTCCATTCCCAGCCACACTTCTAGCAACTGGGGTCTACATTTATTGTTCCCGTTTCTAACTTTTGTATCTTATCTCGCTGAAAGCTAACTTTTGTTCTACAACCTATTGAAGCTTCTTTTGCCAGTAATGCTAACCTCAGTGGATGCTTTTTTTTTTTTTTAAACATCTCTTAATTGTAAAATAAAAGTACAAGAACAAACAAATAAACCACAAAAAAAATGGACTTTGCCAGTCACACCAGTATCCCCTTCATGTACCTCATACCTGTCACAGTCTTTAACCTTCCTCTAAAAGTAATGAATACCCTGACTTTTAATTGCAAAAGTCACCCCCTAGTGTTGTTTGACATTTTTTTATTTTGTTTTGTTTTGTTTTTATCCAAATATATATCCCTTGACATGGTGGTTTTAGTCTGCCCATATTTTTAAAAAACTTGATCAGTTGTTTTAAGCCCTTTTTTAAATGTATAGATTTCCCTCCATTCCTTTCATTGCTTACAATTTATCTGTGAAAGAACTCATAAAGTTTCTCATGGTCTATATTCTGCTGTTTGTAGAATCATGTTACAGTTCCATATGTTCCTCTGTCCTCTGTATTTTCTGCAAATTGGTCATGGGATCCAAGGGTTTGATCACATTCCCATTTGATCCTTTTGGCAATACTATTGGTGGTAAATATGTTCTTTCATCTGGAGACACATAATGTCTGGCTTTTGTTCTTTCTTGATGTTACCAATCATTGATGTGCCTAGATCCATTCATTCATTGCGGCTGCAAAATAGTGACAATAAAATTTTGTCATTTTGTTTCCACATGTTAAGTGGAAGGATTTTCATAAGGAGACACTCCTCATCTACTGTTTGGTTACCTAGTGGTGTAGTTCACATAGGGAAAGCAAGATAATTAATTCTTTTATTTCCCTAGGTTTCAAGAGAGCAAGTTGGTTCCCTATTATCTTCACAAGGACCAATTCAATTAAAAAAATTATTTTGAACTCATGAGTTTAAAGATATTTGATCATTTTTAATTCATTGGTCCTTTCTTCACTCATGCTCGAATTTTTAAATTTTTGGTCAGTGGGAGCCTCTTTAAATCGGTTCCTAAGTTCTTATGACATAAGCTTAGTAGTCTTTAATGGCTCTTTCTTTCTGGTGTGTTAAGATGGTCCTGGATCATCATGTGAATTTACTGCTCCACATTTATAATCAGTCACTTCTCCCCCAAATCCTCAATGATAGTTTTCAAAAGATATATTCAAGTCCTTATCCCTAGTACCTCTGAATGTGACTATTGGAAATAGGATTTTCACACATATAATTAAGTTTAAGATCTCCAGATCATCCTAGATTTAGAGTGGGCCTTAAGTTCAATGACTGGTATCCTCATAAGAGAAAGGAGAGGAAGATTTTAGACATGCAGGCACAGAAGAAGATCAAGTAAAGACAGAGGTCCAGAAGGAGGCATGTAAAATGTTAGAGGAGCAGCCTGGTTTCTCTTTGCTGCTTAAAATGTGAATCAGGAAAGAGATGAATGGGAGGAAGGAACTGTTAAGTAAAAAGATTCAAACCCTTGATGATTTGGGAGTTCTCATACTATCCAGATCAAAAAAGGATGATGAAATTATGAAGTTCATTGTTGGAAAAGCATGCTCTAGAGAAAGGGTGAAGGATGTAGCTGTACAACCTTTTGCTTAAAAAATTTAGGCTTGTGACTTGTAGATTTATTCAACTGACTCAGCAGAATCCCGGAAGAGAGATGAGGTGATCCAGGAAAGATATGTGGAGAACCCTCTCTTGTCTAATGAAGTAGACCTCCATGACATATTTAGGTGAACCACAAGGTTTTTGAAGATGTAGCATTAGCAAAAATACTACTGACAGCTTGGCCTGAAGGGGACAGAGAGAGACAAAATGAGGGAAGGCTGTTGGTCTTTCAAGATTCTACAGGTAGAAAACTGGCTGCTAGAGTTACTTGTCTGCAAATATGTGTTACCCTTCGAGAAAAAGAATGTCTCCAAGGGCAGAGCCCCAGGGACACAGAGGCTGGAATGGTCCCATCACAGGCTCAGAGGCAGAGTACTGGGCTATAAAAGATTATGTTTAAGCCTTGGAATCTAAAGGAATTTGTCCTCCTGGATGTGGAACTTGCTTGGGACTGATGACCTCTTTATTCCTTCCTTCCAATAGCTCTCTTTGGCAGGGGGAATGCCTTTCTTGTACTATTTCACCACTGTAGTTTGGAAGCAGATAATTTGTTTTCTAGTTTCACAGATCTACAGATGGAGAGGAATTTTGTCTCAGGATAGATCATTCCCAGAGTCCCATTCATACCTAATTTTAATGAGATTTGGGACTAGTGGGCTGATATTTAGATAAGATTTTAGAGTTGATGCTGTAATTGGTTGAGCCTTTTGAGAATGTGGCCTGGAGTGGATGTCTTTTGTATGCTGATAGACATGAACTTTAGGGGGCATACTGTAGTGAGGTGAGTGGTGCCCTCCCCCCAAAAAAGATATGTCCTTCTGAAACTTGTGAATGTGACCTTACTTGAAAAAATGGTCTTTGCAGATGCAGTTAAATTAAAGGACTCAAGAGGAGGTCATTCTGGATTGAGTTGGGCCATAAGTCCAATGATATGTTTCTCTGTAAGAGTTAGAAGAGAGTGAGACAGACATACATAGGAGTCCATGTGAAGACAGAGGTGGAGATTGGAGTTATCCTGTCAGAAACCAAGGAAAATCTGAAGGCACCGGAAGTTTGGAGGAGACAAGGAATAATTCTCCCCTAGAGCTTTCACAGGAAATGTGGTCCTGCTGACACTTTGATTTCAGACTTCTGGCTTCCAGAACTATGAGAGAATAAATTTCTGCTGTATTAAACCACAGAATTTGTGGTAATTTGTTACAGCTGCCCTAGGAATCTAATATAGCCCTGGTATTTTTTAATGGGAAATAGTATTTTAAGACCATAATATGGGTGGTAGGTATACTCATTGAAAAATTACATGTAAAGATTAGAGACCATACAAGTTCACACTGATATTTCCAATTAACAGTTCAGCACTGTAAGGTTTTCACTGAGAATTCTGGCTATTAAGGTTTTTAGGCTGATTGAATTAGAATATCACATAATTGCTTGTTGTATGCCACATTATACACACAATATCAGATTATAATACTGATTACCACCACCAATTATGATTACTAAAAAGTTATT